AGGCTCTGGAATGGGCTGCCCAGGGAGGTGGTAGAGTCCTCCTCCCTGGAGGTATTTAAAAGAAGGATAGATGAGGTAGTTAGGGACATGGTTTAGTGGTGGGATGGCAGGGTTAGGTTAAAGGTTGGACTCGATGATCTCAAAGGTCTTTTCCAACCAAAGTGATTCTATGATTCTATGAAATCTATTGATTACATTGAATAATAAAATATTATAAAACTTTCACGGTTTATCATAAACCAGAAGAGAATGGGGGAGATAGATCACAGGTTTCAGTTTTATTCCTATCAATCACATTTAAATGTATAACCTACTCCGGATTTTTTGGTTTGGGGTTTTTTTTACACATGCATGAAGCTAATATATTTTCACACAATCTGTTCTTTAACTAGGAAGTTACCAAGGTTTGTGTAGACAGCCTTTTCTGCCAGGACTTGATCTGTTTGTTTAGCCTTAATGATTAGGAACAATGTGCTTAAATATGATTACTTACATATATGGTTTGGAAAAAATAGATCAACTTTAGTGTTTCCTAGATTATTAGTCTCTATTTTTTTTATTTATTTCATAACAATTCTGTCTTACAGCGGAGTTTAAGTAATACAGAAGATGAATGTACTCACCTGAAAGAAATGAATGAGCGGACTCAGGAAGAATTACGAGAATTAGCTAATAAGTACAATGGAGCTGTAAATGAAATTAAAGATCTTTCTGACAAGCTAAAGGTAATGACAGAACATCTGATTTATGATGGTACTATAATGCATGGAACAAATAAATACAATGTAATTTCTAATGTAGCAATCATAAGGAAGGTTCAGAAACTTTTTAAACAACAGGTAGATGAAAGAAAGATGCATGTCATCTTTCATATATTCTTTTGGTTTATGTTTAATGTACCTGAAAGTGTCATCAGTTAAACAAATTGCTAAAAAGGTTCCCCTTTCACTCACTTGAAAGTTAACATATTTTTTGAGCTGTGGTATATTTTAATAGAAAATAACCTATGGTATGAAACTTTATATTCAGCTGCTTTTATAGAGACAAATAACTTTCAACCTAAACATCTTACATTTAATGGGAATGAAAACTAGAATTACAAATAAATTTGCGTTTCATGTTGCTGCTTTAGCAGTTACAAACTTAACTAGCCTACCACATTAGTAGTAATAAGGCTCAGCTTCCAGTGGGAAGGAGTGTGCTATCAGGTTTGTTACTAAACCAAACGTCTTAAGTATATTAATATTGAAAGTTCCTTTATGCTGGAGGACAAAACAATTACAGTATGATAAAGGCTGTTCCTACAGAGTCTCAAATCTAGATAAGTAGAAGATGCAGAGAAGGAAGGCAGTAGCATTCTCTTTGTAGACACGAGACAGTTGTTGCATTTGTTTGGGGTAAATACTGAAATTTGAACTTAGGTTCTTCAAGTCCTAGTTTAGCAGCTCAGCCAGAAGATTTTTCTTTGCAAATCAGAATGTTAAATAGATGGTCTTAAGGCAATTGGTTTCGCAGTTATGAGTTAATCACTGATGATGATGAGTATACACAGAAGGATCACAATTGGAACTTACTACCTAGCTTTGAGGGGGTCTTTGAAACTTATTATCATGAAATCCAGCAAGAAAAAGATGTGTCTTTCAATCAAGTTGGTCTGTACAATGTACATTCAGTGCAGAAGGACTCTTGGGTTTTGATTGCTTTGAGATGCTGGGAGACTTTGGGTGTTTCTTAATTCTTGGGCACTGGAACTGTTCCTGTAAAATTTAGGTTCCTCAGACAAAACATTAAGATATTTTGAGATTCTTTCTCTCTGTTATTCTACTTGAAGTGAAATTTGTAGAAAAATAACAGTAGAAAAATTTGAGCAGGTAGCAGAAGGAAGACAAGAAGAAATCCAACAGAAAGGACTGGCTGAGAAAAAAGAATTGCAGCATAAAATAGATGAAATGGAAGAGAGAGAGCAAGAGCTTCAAGCAAAAATAGAAGCTTTGCAGGCTGATAATGATTTCACCAATGAGCGGCTAACTGCTTTACAAGGTTAGTCACTAGTGGGGAAAAAACTTTTGATTATTTGTTTTTCTTTTAATCTGTGAAATATCTTTTTCTTGGACTTCTGTTTACAGTACGGTTAGAACACCTTCAAGAGAAAACTCTTAAAGAACACAACAGCTTAGGTAGGTGTGATCAGTTTCTTGTTTCAAGCTGGTTTCCACATTTTCTGTTCATTTACTTTTTTTCATAACAATCTTGGAGTCCAGGGGTCTGGCAAAAGAATAATGTTTTACACTTACCCCAGTAGTGCATTCTTCTCCGTTACTACTTTTTAACATTGAAAGACATGTGGCCACAACAGAATGCCAGTAGAGGGCACTGCTGTTGTGAGTGTTCAGCCTTCTGGGGCATTGCTCAATGTAGAGCTCTGTGCGTGCCCCCTCAGCTCCAAGATCTTGAAGGTTTTTATATCCATATATATGAAAAAGAATTTTTTAAAAAAATAAGTATATATATATTTTAAAAAAACAATAGACAGTAATTCTTTAGATGATAGTAACCTCTTACACAATTAAACAAGAACATGATCTGTAGTGCAGGAAAACACATTAAATTTTGCCTGTTTTGTTTGATTAGATAAGATACTCAGAAGGAGGACGTAGTATGAAAAGCCAGATGCATTTCACAATGCTGTATTTATAAAGAAACAAAACCCCAAACGTTTTGCTTCATTCCAGAAATAATACCCTTTCTTAATCCTAGGCATACAAGTTGACGACTTCATACCTAAAATTAATGGGAGCACAGAGAAAGGTAGTGTATCTTAAGGCTACCTTTTGTCTTATGGTTGATGTTTGAAGTTGAACAAATTCAAAATGTTCTCTAAAGTTTTACTTTGAATAATATTCTCTTAAAAAATGAAATTGAATTTGTCCACTCCTCTGAGCAGCGTTTTTTTGCTTAGACTTTCGGTCTAAGTGTTTTTAGAAACTTCTGTAAAATGTAATGAGCCAACTTGGAAGTCGTCTTTTTTTTTTTTTCTGCTTGTTTTTGATGGGCTCTTACTGGAATCAGCAGGAGTCTACTGATGTCAGGCTTGTTACACAAGAAAGTGGAATCCAAACTCATTGACTTTTTTTTCCTCTTAATTTTATTTTCCCTTGCAACACAGACATACATCATTTTTCTAGTAAATTGAGTATGGTAAGTAAAGTCAGAAAAACATTTTTATTTTTTTTTCCTAACTATAACATGAAAAATGTGAGTATATGAAATATATAAATAGTGACAACTAACTTTTTAAAACTTAAGACTGTATTTATGTAAAATAAGAATGAATACAAATTGAACTAACTGATGGGCTTTTATAAAGACCAGTTAGTTAAAACTATTTTAACTAATGTGTCCTAAGATATATTTGAAGTTTTTTGAATCAAATTGTCTGATAAAAATATGCCCATTATCACATATAGAAAAGATTATTTCAGTTATGATTCTAAATTCACTGGACTGTTCCATTGGCAAAGATATATTTGTCCTCATATTAATTTTAAATTTTTCCTTTATGTAGCTTTCTACAGCATTTGCTGTGTCTTGCTGGATAGTGAAAGCTCTGAGGAATGGTGGTAGTATGAGCTGAAAGGATGGGGCTCTTATATAGAGAACTCATGGTGTTAACTAATATTCACAGTGTTTAAGGATAACCATATATATTTTTGAAATACAATTTTTAAACTCTGTGCTATAATTCTTAGCTTTTAACCTTTTATTTGTGTTATAAATTAAGAACTACTTAATTAGGGAGACTAATAGCAAAATAAGAGGCATAACCTCATGTCTATTTCTTATTTGGAGCAGGAAGAGAGATCTGTTAAACACTGACAGGAACTGTATAAAAACCTCCCTTTAAGCTGAGTACTAGTTATCCCTTAATGTCTTGGCATTTTAGGCACTTAGCTGTGATGCACGCTGAATTAGCAAGCAGGAGACTTGATATCTGTCCCCAGTTCTCTGGACTGCCATACTTTGTGTTTAGATAGATTGATCCATCTTGCTGATGCATAATTCTAGGTTGGTAATACTCTTAATGCTTGATGGAATGGTTAAGAAGTAAATTTGCTTTTAATTTTTTAAAATCTTCTACCTCAGAAAATAGTTAACTTTTTTACAAAGCAAAACTGAGGTACTACATAGGGATTGTGATTCTTCATTCTAATCATGTAAAGCGTAAAAAGACTTTGAAAGTTAAGTTGTTGAAGCTTATTAGAAAAACATGCAATACTGTGACTAAAAGTAGCCTAGAGCTAAATTGCAATATTTAGTAAAAGCTTTCAAACTTTGAGTGCAAATACATTTTGTTTTATAGAGAAATAATTGATAACATCACACCAAATAGGACTTTTTTTGGCAAACATTTTGTTTGTTTTAAATTGTTGGTAGGAATGTCTTGTTAGTTTTTTATATACTACTACCTCCTATTGTCTAAAATTTGAATTCAAAATTGAAATTCATTATTATGTGATTATAACAAATATCACTGTATCACTGATGTTCACTTTTTTGTCAAAAGTTGAAGAAGCAATCCCTTCTTGACTTATTTTGGATTGCAGAAGAGTCAAAATGTTATCTGGATGGATGAATGAAAATAGAGTTTCCTCCATCCTATGAGTAACAGTAGAACTTGTGCTTAAACCTGGGAGTTTTAGGAAGCTGCCTGCCAATTTGTTTTTCTTGATGAATATGGACAACGTATAACTGCTCATTCAAGTTCTTTCTGTGTGTTTATACAGTCTATCACATTTTTTCTGTCATGCATCTATCATGCTGTTTTATTATTCTATATTTTAGCGTAGTTTTCCATTTTTCTGTCTGTACCACATTCTTGTGCATCTCTGCTGTACCTGGTCCATCCACATTTCTCTGGCGTTTTACAGCTTGCTGGTCTGAGTTCTCTTCATGACAGTTTGTGCCTTTCTGTATCCTCCTGTCCTTTATCTAGCCCTCATGTAATGGCAGATGGGCAGCAATTTTCTCTGCCAGACTTTGGATTTTGTTCTCTTGAAAGCCGCAGGAGGCAGCTACTGCTTTTGTTGCTGAGTAGGCTTGCATTATTTTAGAAGAGCTAGGAATTTAGGGTTTAAGATGTAGATTCAGAAACTTAGGCAGTGAAAGAGGTTGTAGATATTTTATATAAGGGAAAGACTTCATGGTTGAAGACAGAAATCGGAACTTTTTTTTTTAATTGTGCTAAATAGCCTATAAGGGAATTAAAAAGTTCCCTCTATTTGTATGCAAAGGTATATATACCTTTCCCCTCCACCCCCATCAGAGGAAAATGGTATATCCATGTAAAATCAGTATGGTTTTTAAGATTCCTTTTGTCTATCTCAAAACTTCAGGTCAAGTCCTCAAGGTATGTTTATAGGCATACTACCTAGTCATTGCAAGCACAAGGTTTTTACATTACTTTTTTCTGTGGATGTCCATAACATTAAAAGAGCTACTCCTCTGAGTAGAGGAACTAAGAACTCATGTTATAGTCTCTCTAGAGGCATTTTATAACAAAGTGTATTAAGATGGTGGTTAGGCATTCATTTTCTCTCATTGCACATACAAAAATTCTGGTGCAGAGGAGAGTAACTTGCTTATGCATCAAACTACATAAAGGTTGTGTAGGATTGAGTTATTTCAAGAACTGTTATGTTTTCCAGTCAGTTGCACCACACCTGGCTTTCATATTTAAGTTTTGTGAGCCATATATTGTATGAAAAAGTTTAAATATGGAAAATAATTGTTATAGTGGATTAGGAAAAAAGTTTACTTTTTAGAGTAACTTTGAAATATAATAAAGCTTAGTATTACGTATTGGATCTTAACAGCTAAGCTTCTGATATCAGAAACTAATGATTGACTAATGATTGAACAATTTTGTTCGAATGTAACTCATATTTCTGGTTTGTATACTAAAAAGCAGCCTTTTCAGATTGCTAGATTCTTGAGGTCAAAGGATTTTTGAGGTTCTTTACAAAGGAAGTGTTAGCACCTTTTTACATAGAGCTGAAAGATTCTGATGGAGTTTGGAGCAGTACAAGGTCGCACAGAAGGACTTGGGTAAACCTGGGAATTGAGCCCAGTTTTAGGATCTCTACTGTAAGAACTATAATTTCAAAAATTGTTTCTGTGTAGTGAAACTGTGTTTAAAAAGGGAGATATTCAGCAACAATTTTAAAAAAAATTGTTTTCATTTCAAGAGAGGACTAGATATAAAGAAAAACTTACTAAATGCCCTTTTAAAGCTAATAAAAAATACTGAAGAATATAGGTTAAATTCATGTTTCTTATTTCATCAAAGCTTGGATTTGGTATTTGCAATTATCCATGTCTGATTATGAATTAACAAATGGGAGGAACTAGAGGCATCGGTGCTATGGAATTGCACGTTTCAGTAGTGTGTATCATCTTATGTATTCTAAATTTATTGTGATTTAAGTATCACTTATGTGCATTAATCTTTTTGCCAAAAATATGAAGTTGTTAATGGAAATGTAGTATAAGTCATTTGTCACCACCTAACCTGAAAGAGCAATACAGCAAATGCCAAATGCAGTATGTTTGGACTTTTATTAATTGATTCTTACTAAATTTTGTTAAATAAAATTGGGGATTTTTAAATATCTTCTATTGAGGGCTCTTTATTATGCTTCAGAACTGCTATTTGATTTTAATATTTAAAAGTACCCTTTGAAAATGCAGTTAAAGTACTTCTGATCAGTTCAAAAGAGTAATTATTTTCTAATATCACTCAGACATCATTTCAATTACATGTCTTGTCTGCTTGCATATTAACTCCGTTTCAAAAGTTCACTGTAAATACAAAATTACAAATATTGTTAATATACCTTTCAAATTTTTGTTGCATCAATTTGAAAATTATAAGAAGATGTGAACTTAAGTGTTTCTTTCTTTACTAGAGCACTTTCTTTCAAAGAGTGGAGGGGACTGCACTTTTATTCATCAGTTCATAGAATGTCAGAGTGAGTACAAGAGTGTTCATCACATTTGCTTTAAAACCAACAGAAAACCTAGAAAAGGTGGATAAAAACCAGACTTTGTCACTACTATTTAATATTTCTGTAGTAGCAGAAATTTTCTAAGCATAGAATTGTGGCATTGTGATACTAAGCAGATGCCTGTTGTAGTAAGAGGATATCTTTGCTCTTGCAAAGCGATGATCACATTGTCTCTTGTTAGCAGTTAATCCATTATTGTCCTCTGACCAATAAAAGGGTGGTAATGTTGCCACATGATGTTTAAAACTGAGTGTAATTTTTCACCTGTTATGAATTAAGAAGTTGAAAGCCTAACACTGTCAGTTTAAGCAAACAAGCAGCAGTAGGACAGAGATAAGGTAATGATGCCTTTTCTTCATTTCACGTATCTGTAATTTATCTGATAATTAAAGGTCTTACACATTCCTCAAATTACTTGTTGCAAAGAACAAAAAGGAAAAAAACCCTTAATTTTTATGTGGAAATCTAAGAGATTCTTTGAAGAAAAAACCCCATAAATACCAATCTTTAGAAAGATGTGTTATTCTGGAATAAGAAACATGTTTTTCAAAGCAAATGGATTTTTAAAATGAGCAGTAAACCAGCGCAGTCTGCATATCTGTAATTAAAGAAAAACTTAAGATGTTAATACTTTTTCTCCACCAAGAGAAAAATACCATTAGAATGAAAAAAGTGCTATTGAACTTCAAATAAAACTCTTTTGTAGCATAAAGAATCATTTTTTTGACTTACGAGTTTACAGAAATTATGTACCTAAAGTTGAGAAGTATTTATATGCAGAAATAAGACAGTATCTTTTTTTGACAATATGCCCATTGGGCTCTTCTTTTCCCTTTTCAATTTTAATAAGGAAATGTAACAGACTTGTTTGACTTCACTGCTTGTGATATGGAATGCAGTTCTATAAACTGAGTGGCGGGATACTGCTGATGTTTGTCTAAAAATTTAAACTTTATTTGAAAAATGTTTATTTTTAAACATGAATGACTGGTAGCTGTCTTTGGTCAGGCTGAAGTTTAAAATAATTTTAAATTTTGCAAAGATCTTATATGAATCCTCTTTATTCAATACATAAAAATGAACTGAAGTTAAATGTTTGAGTAAAAATATTTTTTTGTCAATTGAAGTAGTAATAAGAGAGTAAAATAAAGATCCATTTACTTATGTTTCCCCTTCCTTGAGAGATTGAGTCCTAGATTAAAGACACTGTAAGGCCTCGATTGCCTCATTTTTAAAAGAATGAATATGAGTTCAAAGGGTTCAGTATTCTTCATTTTTTGAAGCAGTATAAGTTTTTACTATCTAATCAAGAACAAAAAATTTTCTAGTATGCGGCTCATGTATTTATTTCTGGACTGAAAGTTTGCCTTTCCCAAATTCAAATATGTTTAGTCAGGCCTCACAACATCATGAGGTTAAAAACCTGCTAACTATGGGATCTGTTATTTTCCTTTATGTAAGTACCTCCCTTCAGTCGTATTCCTGTTCTTTGCTCTCTGAAGCAGTGAGGGCTGGGAACTAGTGGGGAGAAAAATTACAGTTTTAGAAATCTCCAGGAACTGGAGTTTTAAGACATGCAGCAAATACTTAAGTGTAGAACAATATCATAAAGATTGGCAATATTGAGAAAGAATATATAATTTATCATATGATACTATGCTTCTTTTGCCCAGGGGTTTAGATATTGGGAAAGGAGTACGTTTATTAGTTAAAAAATAATAATACAGTAAAAATCCCAGAAATAAGAGTTACTCATTGAATTTGTGTTATGTAGGGTTTGTAATAGAAGCAGAGGAATTAAAACTATAGGATCTGCAAACCATAAGAGGAATCTAAAAAGAAAGGATAATTGAGACACCCATGCACTTTGTCTAGAAGAGAAGGTTCTGACTTGTGCTGGTACAGTGAGGAAAGTGTGCATCTCCATAGCTCTGGGGAAGAAACACTTAAATGGGGAAAGCATAAGCAAAGAAATGAGGAAAAACAGCTTGAGTCAAGGAAGTAGGGTATGTAAGATGGCACAAGAAGGAAAATTAAACAGTCTGGTATTATATACAAACAGTTGCTACAGAGGTATAAGGTAATTAAAAGTGCTTATCAGTTAAGAGCAATCAAGACCTTTCAGGGTACTGAAGCTAGAATTTTTTTATTGGGGGAGAAACAACGGGACACTAAAATCTGATTCAGGCTGCGTTGGAACTGCTTAACTTGGGTAGCATTGCTTGCAAAATTTGGCTTCTGTCGGTTTTCAAAGATATTTTTTATTTTTGTTTTTTAAGCAGAATATGGCTTACGATATCATCCAGTAACCTGTCCTGATCAACAACATCCGTAGATGTTACGAAATGTTGCTCTGAATGATCTGGGAAGTCTGTTACTTTCTAGTCATTACATTCAGTTCACTTGTTGCTCATTTCATAACTTTTTTTTTTTTTTTTTACTAACTACTGGTGAAAACCAGTGACATCGACAGCAAAAGTCATGGTGCTTTTTGATTAATACATGGTACGAGTTCTTACCAAAAATGGTGATGATGTATAAATGAAAGAGAGATTTGGTGCCGTGCTAGCTTCCTCCAATCTAACTCTTCTTTATTTGTGTCCTTAGGTTTTTTTCCTAATTTTGTGATTATTTTTTTTTTTGTATTTATGATTTTTAAATGCAAGTCAATTTTATGCTTTTTTACTAAGTTTTTTGGGTTTTTTTTCTTTACTTATCTAAAACGGAGTAGTTTTTGGACGGATTGAATGGCTCCTCAATTTTTCCATGAATTTATGATCTTCAGGGTGCTAGTACAGTTATAGCTGCGTCATATCAGTTTTTTCAGATGGTTTGAAATTTGCGTATTGAGGGCTGGGTTTCCTTCCATTGGTCTTCAAAACTGGCCTCCTTGAAAGACTAATTTGATACAAAAACATAAATGTTGAGGGCATGTTATTTAATCACTGTAATGTTAACAGATGTTAACTATTATTTTACTCATCGTGATGGGCAACCTAAATCTAAAAGGAAGTTCTTAAATTATAAAGGTAGGAAATGCCTAAAAATCTAAAGGAAAGCTGCCTTTGAACTGTATTCATCAGCAAAAAGAACCATAGACTATCTTAAAGATGAACTGAAGACTGAACTTCAAAGCAGATTGTTTCAGTAAAAGTTACTATTGTTTTTGATATGTATCAGTAATTCTTTGCTTTCAGTTAAATAGTGATTGGATAGCATGAAAGATGAAAATTATTTGTGCCAGAAATTCAAGCTAAGATCCTCACCCTAGTTTATATTTTGGTAGCCAAAAATTTACTTCCAATGTTCTGTTTATTATCTAAACATACACAGGCATGTTGAAATAAACTATTTGTTGTTGGCTTTGCAATATGCTAATGCTAGCATTCTTACAGCACAGAGAATGCTTACTTGGTTTGTCAGTTAGAAGAGATGTCAGCTATCAAGTGAAAAATAATGGCTGTACCAGCTTTGGGTCACACTGGGCAGGGGGACTTGTTTGTTACTGCTAAAGTTCTTTGCTGAAGAAACAGTGTCAAGAAGAAAACTTTTGTACAAATGTTGAAATTCATAATGGACATTAGAAAACAGTAAGGCACCATGGAAAAGAAAAAAAAAAAAAAGAATTAAGTCTGCAGATTTTTTTAGTCATAGGAAGTGAGAATTCTAAAAAGTGTAAAGAGCTGGTGCAAAGGTTTCAGTTTGGAAAAACACCTGGGTCAAGAAGACTGGTTTCTGTGTTTTGTGCTGTAAATATTCTGGTTTTAACTACCCTCAGTTGAGTCCTGGAATCACATATGAAGACTTTTGGTTAGATGATTTTTTTTTTTTTTTTTTTTTTTTTTTTTTCAAATGGAAGAAGGCTCATGATACTGGTGGGTAACTCTTCACTTGTGGCTGCAGTAACTTGATTACCTCTGTGGTGCCTTCCTCAGTCCAAGCACAGAGACTCTCCCCAGCTCTGATGAACTCGAGAGTGTTCTGAACTTGGATGATGAGTGATCTCCTACAGTTGCTTCAGACCTGAAGCCAGTCCTGAAAATCCGGTGTATTTCTGAAGCAGTATTTGTAAAATGTTACAGGAATGCAGGACAGTATTTGTAGATAAAGGTAGTTGGAGGGAATATCTCTTCTAGATTGGTGTATCTGGCTGGGGGGGAGGGAAGGGGACAGGACAAGCTGTTGGCCATGCAAACCCTTCTTCAGACCCCAGGAGATTTTTGTATGAAAACTTGTCTACTATCTAGGGTTGAAAAAGAGATCTCCATGCAAATGTCCTGCCTCTGTCCTTAGGTTGTCATGGTTACAGCAACGTGTCATCAGAGGAGTACAGACGCTTCTTAATCTTGAAGCTGGAAATGCTGACTAAAGCTTGCAATATTTTTTTTTAAGTAAAAATTTGAAAAAAATGTACTGACATCCAGCTTCCCTAATCTGAACTCTCCTGCATGTGCTGTTTGTCCAGTCTTCCCTGCGTCTCCGTTCTCTGTTAACAGCACATGGGGTAACCAGCAAACTGGGTTCCCTGCCTGATGATCGGGGATCCGCAGGGAGGATGCAGAGTGGAGGCAGGGGCAGCTTCAAGCCTGGTGTTTCAGTGGGAGTTAACAGCTTTCAACATTGTCTAAATTGCAAGATTTACTCCACAGAAATTGATTATGTGATCTGTAAGCTATGTGACCCTCAATAATTTTGCATGTTGGCATCGCTAGCTGGTTGTTTCAGAATTTGAAATAGTGACTTCTCCTCTGAAAAAAGAAATTAATTAATTACTCGTTCAGTAGTTCTTTTAGCGTCTTTGATTAATCTAGATCTGTTCTTCCCTTGGTCTTACTGTTTGCCTTCACGTCCTAGCTGGAGTTAGGAAGAAGTTAGCAATCTAGTCTCAAATCCCGTGTTCTAGGTTTTTATGCACCTGACATACATGAATAGACTTCCCTGTCAATGCTGTATGTAAACTCAACTTCTGTGAACCTGAATGTGATGCATGCACAACTTCCTGGAAGCTTGTGTAGCTTTCAAAGTTTTAAGCTAAGACAGGATATTTCTCTGTGCCTTTCATAGGCACTGTTAAAGCAGTTGTGATGTGGAAGAGGCTTCTCAATTGCTGTTTTACTGTGGCATGTTTCTAGCTTTCTGCTCTGTCAGGTGGATATCTATTTCAGGCAAACAGCTCTATACTCTAAACTATAACTTGAGAAATGTAGTAATTGTTTATTGTTCCCAGTTAGATTTTTAAAAGTTCATAAAATTAATTTTCCTAACTTCTCCTTAGTGAACTGAAGCATTAATAATGTAAGCTAATAAATTGTAGAAGAAATAATTATGCAGTTTATCACAAAGTTCCAGTAGGCTTGTGTGCTCTGTTTCATTGTTCCATGCCAGAATAAAGTTTTTGTTCAAGCCCAAGTAGGAAGTAATATTATCAGCTTTTAATTTGGTCATGGAATGTAGTCTACGTAATGTGTGCAGGGAAAAGCCTGCTTAATTTGAGCTTGGAAAGTAACACTTATTTTGTTTGGCAGACAAGATCATAGATGAAGGACATCTAACCAAAGTGGAAGAAACAAAGCTTTTGAAAGGTTAGACTTCTGCATTATTTAACTGTGTTTGAAGCATGTCTTTTATGTCACTTCAGTGCATGTTCTGTCTTAAACGAGCAGTCTGAGTTATGTTAAATACTCACTTTAAAAAAAAAAAATCAATGAAGGAGAGGTATATTGTTTACTGAACTCTGTTCCAAATACTGTGGTAGGATAAAAAGATTTAAAGGAAACAATTTTTGAAGACTGAGTGCATGTAATGCTAGTCTCAGTTTTGACTGAATTCTTGCCTGAATGTGCATTTAAAAAAAAAAAAAGTTGTAAATGTATTTAAATCTTCAGTGCCTGCATAAATTTCAAACATGTTTTTGTTTTTCTTATAGGACTAAACAGAAATAATGTTTGGTCTCATTTTAAATAAAAGTGTATTTTAATTTGATTTTTTCTAACGTACACCCTCATAACTTTAAAATAACTATTAACCTCCTAACTGTGTCTTTTCCAAGTAAAATATAAATGTGCATCTTTAACTCTTTTTTTTTTTTTTTTTCCTTTGGTATAAAACAAGTGAAATACCAGGTCTAATTAGAAAAGATTTATGTTGTCAGGGAACAGTCATCCTTATCATGCAGTGCCAAAATCAGAAATGCTAGAAAGTGTGTAGATCCATATTTCCTATGTGTCCAATAACGTAAGTTTGTTTGGATTTGTAGGCTGACTCTACTTATGTAGCATTTTGTTAATGTCTAGACATACTAACTCACTTCTTTACCCTCTGTCCTTCTGCAAAGTGTTACTGTACTGAATAAATGTTAGCTTGTTAAAAGTTCTGGTATATTAGCGACTTTTCAATTTATCTTCAATTTTATCTGAAATTGCACCTTTAATTTGTTTCTGTACGTGAGTAAGCTATAGCCAACATGCCATATTTGGCCAAAGAATGCATACAATAACTGTAACGTAACACTTGCATGCCGGTTATCTTGCAAAGCGGTGAGCTATTTTTAGTGTTTGTTAATATATTCCAACTCATCAAGTAAGTATGATGTCAACACATTTTAATATACTTCATCATTTTGGCTATATTTATTCAGCTCGGTTTTATTATGAGAAATAGGGACAACTGCTGTGAAATAATATGGTACAGGAAAGAGTTTTGTGCTTATGAGACTGGTTCCAGAATAGGGAAGCAGGTTTCTAAACCATTTCTCTTTCTGATTTCTGTTTCAGATGTAGAAACTGATGCATCTTTCCTCTAGTACCTAGTCTTGTTCCTTGTTTCAGGGGGAGGAGGGTAGGAGGGAGGAAAAAGCTGGTGTACCCGGGGTGGGAGGGAGGTGTGGGGAGAGAGAATTAATTCAGTGGCTGGAGCGTGCACTGTTCCTCCCGTTTTGCACAGAGCAAGAAAGCTGCGTTTCCCTGTATGACCAGATATGGTAAAGTTAGCTGGGTACAGATATTGCTCAGCTTAAAGCAGCTGGATTGGCCACTAACATAAACGACATGGGTGAGACTTTTAGGATATGCTTTTCTTAATACTTTAAAAAGACTGTATTACTTGGTTTAGTAATTATTACAGTTTTAAAGGCAATCTTGTGAGCTTGATTCTGTGTGGTACATGTAAAATGCTTTGTTATTGTAACATCTTTAGATATTAGTTAAAAACCTTATTCCTAAAAATAGGAAAGTACCCTTTTTGTTTTAGCAAAGAACACCCCCACCCCCCCAACCCTCAAGTTTTTAACTACTCCAGTCATTACAAGCTTTGAAATCTGCTGAAGTCATACGAGAGATGTTTGGAATAGCTGCCAGGTCCAAACCCCTAATGCGCTTTAAGTGTGTGGGTGCTCTCTCCTTCTCCCTCCTGAGTTATGTTACGATAGGAAGAGTCTGGCTCTTGATCAGCTAAGTTGTTCGTACTTGCCTTCTTCTGTTTCATGTACAAGTGGATGTTATTCTGGCACAGAGAAATAGAAAACTTTTCATTTTAGATGAAGAAAACTTTTTTTTTTCTATTAACCTGTCTGTGTTTTGTCACGTTGCTAATTTCCTAATGTTGTCTTTGATTTCCACTTCTTTCATTTTGGGGGTGTTTAGTTCTGTTTGTTCTCTTGTTATTTGAAAAAAAACAATGCACACAAGCTTTCTCATCATTCCTTTGTTTTTTATGTATTTTCATATACTAACCCTATTGGTATAACACACTTGATTTCTTTATTGCTGTGCATCTTTCTTCCTGTGTCCTGGTACTTTTTTGTTGCATGTACTGTATCTATATGTGAAGAAATTATTTGTATTCACCATGCTTCTCTGCATGTATGGTAGAAGTGTATACTGGGAATGTTGTAATGATGCCTTTATATATATATATCTCTGCCTGGAACTTGAGACTCAGAGGAAACCTCTATTAATCTGTGGGTGGGCAGCAGCGATGTCAAACCCAGGCTCTGCATAGTCAGCCAAGAAAGACTTCATTGTATGTAACCTCAGTGCATATTGGTGACGTTCCTTGCTGGCAAACTTACTACATTTGCCCACTTCAGAGATAGTGTGCCTTTAAGGGATCCATCAGAACTAAACTGGAATGGTTATTGGGAAAAAAAAATATTAAAAAAAATTAGAGCCTTATAAAGTACTTAGACTGAGTCAGGGATGCTTCTGTGTGGGAAAAGGATGCACTGGTGTAATTAAGTCCCCTCACCTTTTGAAAATGTCTCCATTAAGAATCTAGAACTGCTAAAAAAAAAAAGGCAAAACAAAACCCACTGTGTGGCTCACTGATCTGCATGTATTAATGTGGTGAGTTGTGTATGAACAGGTATTTCATGAACATATTTTTTGGTGGAAAGGACAGACTGCCTTCTCTTGAAACAATTTGACCTGACAATTCTTTCTAGAAATTAGTGTGTTGATTTATATTGCAGTGATTCTTTACTGGTTCATACCACACTTTTTTTTTTTACAGTACAGTATATACAAGACTTGTTGCTATTATTTTATTTGTCCAAAATACTGAAGCACAGCTTTATTCTTAACAGCAGTTTCGTTCTGACTTGTTACAGTATCTGCATTGTTCTAGTTTTCTTTTCTTATTTGTTCCCTGGTTGAATCAGCTTTTGCACAGTTCCAACTGGCAAGAATACAGCTTTACAAAAGTTCAAGCTGTGCGTGAAACAGTTGCATCCCCTATTAGATGCTAGACTAGATTAATGACCTTAGTGATGCTGAATCCATTTTAGCCCAGACTTACATGGAAATAAGCAATCACCAGGTTTTTAATTGTTTCTTGAACGATGTTGTTTTCTGTCGACGTTTAGCAATAGAAAGAGACTGAATAAAGCATTTACTGATTGTAGTTGATTTTCCTTGTCTCTTACAGAGAATCAAGCAAGAGTCAAAGAATCTGATTTGTCGGACACTCTTAGTCCAAGCAAGGAAAAAAGCAGCGACGACACTACAGGTAAGTGTTTAACTGAGGTTTCTATAACATCTAATTAGTTTGCTCATGATTAAGTGATGTAATTCATTTTCTGAAAGAGTGGATAACGTGTATTATGCGGAGCCAAAGAGAAGCTCAGAGCAGTATTTTCTATTTTGCAACTTCATAATTAAATGTAAAGTGAGAAGAACTTAAAAGCTTCTCTTTGCTTAAAGAATGGTTATATGTCTGCAGTCTACCTGCTCTCTGAAAGATGTGGGTTTTTTTTTTTTAGATGCCCAAATGGATGACCAAGATCTAAATGAACCTATTGCTAAAGTATCTCTTCTAAAAGGTAAACAAATTTCTTTTTGTAACTTCAGATGCATAATCTGTATATATATCTTTGTCTACCCATTTTTTATCAAATGTGCATTGAAGTAGAGTGCTGAAATGCAAATGTTTTAATCACGGTAGTACAGAAGAGTTGTACTTAAATATCAATAATGGTTCCTTCGGGGGATGTAATATGAAAGCATACTTCTGAACATTAGTGTAGAAATAATTTGTGCTTAAAGCTAGTTTCTGCACTCACCAACACTGTTCTAGGAATTTACATGTTAAAACTTCAAGTAAAGTTGAGAATTCAGCATGCACTTAAGTTAGGGCTAATAGCTGTGGGGAGGAGGGATTGTTCCATCACTGACAATATTATAAGCATTACCAAATTTTTCTTGTATCGTTTCCATCACTGTCAGAAATGCTTCTGTTAATTTGTACCTGATGGGTTAAAAAGAATATCTAAAATCTTTTTTTGGTTAACATACTCGAGATCTGAATTTCCTGTTGTAACTGTATTTAGAATGATTGCTGAGCCTTAGCTTTGAGGTACATAGTTAGAAAATTATTTTTTTTACTGCTCTTTGCACTGAAGGAATGTACTTAAAACTTGATTAGCAAGCTAATATTTACATATTCGTGAGCTGAAAAACTTTTGGGTTATTAATTTGTTTTTTACATTTAGCATACTGAAAATTAATTTTATGCTTTATGTACAATTAGACTTTGATAAGATCTGTAAAGTGATGCTTACGTTGGGATCACAAGTAAAAGGGATGTCACAGTTATTTATGGTTCATAAAGACAGGAAACCATAATGAAATTTAGGAGACCTGTAAAAGAGCTTTTTTTCTGTAATTGTTTACACTTCTCTAATTTTATGACAGAATGACTTCCAAAAATTGCGTGTACCGTATATGTTTCTAAACAGCAAAACTAAAATTGAGTTTGATATTTTCCAGTGGATATCAGTTCAGCAAAGCAGTTTAAAAAGGAGTGTTTGAGATACTGAGCATGTTCCCTTTGTGTTTTGCTCTAATGTCTGCAATTAATAGCAAGTCTATTTAGGGGCTTACTATGTTAGAAGGTAGAATCTTGGTAATGTTGCTCATAGTGATTATGATAGTCTTATTTTTGATAATAAATTCGGGGCTGGCAGCAAGTTTTATTTGAAAAAAACTACCAGTTGAAAAGTATGATGTTCCTTAAGTATCAGAACTTTAAGTCCAGAAGGGGATCCACACTAAGGAGTTTGTTTCCTGTGAGCAGTGTTGCATGCACAGAATTCACAGCCCTGACAACCCTCTGTATGTAAACAGTACAGTAGAGAAACTGAATTCGTCCATCTTGTGTCAAAATTATTTTAATTCTAAGTTTTATAGTTTTAAGATACACTTTTGTCCTGGCTAATTTTTCAGCTACATAATTGAACTTTGTAATGAGTCTCAGAATAGGCAACAGCTTCACATACCTATATTGTCTGATGGGGAAAAATGTCTCATGCTGCAGACTTGACTTCTATGCATATAACTTTTCTTGCACAATATGTTAATAAATCAAAGTAGTTCGCTAAATATTTTAAACACCTATACATGTTTTAAAAAAAAAAACCCAAACCAAGCAATCATAGTGGGTCCACTGAGTCAGTGATTTTTCTATCTTTCTGTATTCTCAAAAATAAAAAAAATATTTCAGTGAGAGTGAATGCTCCCATGTAGCCAAGGGAATACTATTCAGAATTGGCTGGATTTCTTAGTTCTGTTCTGCAGACACATTAAAAGTAGTCCATGGACCCCTCAGGCTGAAAACTACTGAATTCTCCTTATATGCAAGTGAATTATTCTGGAGTTTTGTCAGAAAGGTTCGTTTAACAGCTCAGGATGAAGATAAGGCAGCTGTGTGCGCTGCTTCCTGGGTTAGACAGACAAACGTCATGGCAAGGGTCAGCTGTGGTTATAGTTTCTCTGTCCAGGGTGTATTAAACTAGCAGGGAGGGTTAACTGAATTATCAAAAGACTAAATTCAAGTTTTGTGCAGTAACATGGAAGCAGTCTTTTGCTGATGTGGGTATTCTCATTCCTTCATCTGTCTTCATCCTGTTGAAGATTTAAACCATAACTTTTAAGTGAATAAGTAGAAAAATACCTGTTTGCATAGATCACTTTGCTATTGAATTACATACTGTAATTAACAAAAATAATTGGAATAACTCTCTTTCTCTTGAGGCTATTTATGGGCATTCCTGTTTTTCTGTCATGAAACCATTACAAAATATCTGTACAATGAATCATTTACCCTCGTAATTTTTATGACAAGCCTGTAAACCCGCAGTTTTGTTTGAGGTTTTGTCAGAGAGCTATTTCATATGCCTGACTTTGCCCTAAAAAGGATTTTATTTGCCACAGAAAGACTTTCAAGTGGATTTATTATGCAGCCATATAATTAAGGAAGAGTGAGAACAATCCTGATCTGACAGCTTTTTGGAATGTGGAAACGGCTGCTAGAAAAGACAGGGTTCCTTTTTGTTTAACTGTTGGAATTTACAAAACAAATTAATGGAACAAGAAAATGATGAGACTTTTAATTGCTGTAGTTCCCTCCAAGTGTATTTTCCATCAATAAATTTTGAGTGCGTTCAGGATTTGTTTCAACTTCATATAAATCAGAATCAGGCAAAGAGGGGAAGGGGAAAAGCTGTCACAGATTAGTAGAACTGTGGGGGTTTTTTTTCCCCACGAGGTAAACAACTTTATTAGCCATTAATAACAGTTCCCTGGATGCTTCTATTTAGACAGGCTGTTTGTGACTACTTACTGCAAAGTTAAAAACAGGTAAATGTTAAACAGATGGAAAAAAGCAATAAATGCCATTGGAAGGTTGGTTATCTTGTTCTTACCAACTTGCTTATATTTTCATAGTAACTACAAGAGTGATCCATGGAATCTTAATAAAAAGTGTTTTCAGTTGAGGGTTTGCTGAACAGTGGTAGTTGCTGATTTTCAAAATTTCTTATATAAATGGTTGATTCAGAAAGTTTGGGAATGATTGTTTTATCTTGCAATAGCAAATACTTTATTTTAAATGTATGATAGAGTGTACACAGATCTTACAAAGCTGAAGAAAACTCGTGGGTTTGATTGTTTTTCTGACTTCACCTGAGTACTCTGAAAATAGTCACCCAAATAACCTGAGAAATTCTGCAAAATTCTGAAAGTGAATTACTGTGAGACATGGAGAAATACCAGCCTGCTTGTAAAGTTGCTTCCACAGGCCAGGCACATGCAGATAAGGGATCAGTTAAGACCATAGCCTGTGTGTGGTTCTATATCATCTCTGTTATCAAAACAACAGTGTAGAGGCAAACATATAAGCAGACCTCTGTTAGTATTTTCATATCTGTAAATACTATTTTAATCTGAGCTTTGTTTTTCTTCTGATTTTACTGAAATTTTATTTTATAGATCCTAAAATTGCAAAATATTCCTTCACACACCATAGTCATCTTTAATGATTTGGAAATGGTCATTTCCCCAAAACTGACCCATGGGTTAGACTCCTTTTCTTGGGCCAGATTGAAGGGGAAGAAATTTTCATGTGCTTTGGGAATGATTTGTACAGATCACACTTTTTTTTTTTTAAACAATCTTAAATCTACCAGTAGAGCTGATATTAAGGAAAACCTCTGTGTGCATGTGAAACAAAGTGGTATTAATTAAGAACCTTTGTTGCAACATGTCAAGCAGTCAGAGTAAAGTTTTCTATGAGCTAGAATAAATGAATGAGGGTTTTCAAACTGTTGTATTTTACTTTTTTTTGGCACCTTATTGTAATTAATGATAGAATTCCGTAGACTTCTCTGACCAGTGCTGAATACTTCTGGAAATTGCTCAAATACTTTTTTAATTGCAGCCTTTTACATTGGTTCTCAAACCAGACTTTTGTGATGTGAATTTGCTTCTTGAGGGAACTAATTCTAAGCCTGATGGTATTTAGTAGTTTTATTATTTATAAATAGAGCAATCCTACTCACTAAGGAGTTTTTTTTCAAAACTAGAGTTAGCACAAAAATTATGTTTGCTTTGAACTAGGCATTAAAGAAATTTTCGGTTTGGGTAAGACTCAAAAGCTGTTATTTTCTCCTGTTTGTATTTCTTGGGTTTTGATTTAGAAGCATGTCGGGCGTATGGGAATTCCACTATTGCATTTGAGTAGGAAAGAGGTTTTACTTGAATTATGCCTTTGCTAAACTGATTGTGTTGTCCCGTAAGTTGAGTTCCTCATCTTCTTTGTAGCAGTGTTATCTTTTATGATGTGTGCTTTCGTTGATTGGAAAATACTGTCCCTCCCCAAGTTCATTTAGGGTGTCTGTTGTTGGATTTGGGACACTGCTGCTTTATCAGGCATGATTTGAGCATAATTTGTCAACTTCCTCATCCATTCCTTCTGAACAGTCTCATTAAGGAGGGTTGAAAGTCTAATTGCCCCAAGTCTTTATCCATGAGAAGCTAAGAACAAAACATGTTCAGTAAAGAGAAACTTGGATTTGGAGCTCTAATAAACTATAAAAGAAAGTATTTGGATGAAATATGTAGTCCTCTGTTCTTTCTGCTCTCATAATTTTGTTCTGAAAGTCTAAAAGCACATGTGTGCCCTCAGCTCTACTCGATCCCACTGATTCATTACTGTGAGAACAGGAAAAATAGCCTCTTTTCGTAGAGGGATACAGTATGAATACTTAAGCGTGATTTGATAAGCAATTATTTTAATGGAGAAAACAGCAAAAAAGATTTTATTGTTACTTTACTGGTAACATAGACGCTCAAATCTGAATGTCAAAAGTATAATGACAATCTAAACTATTGCTGGTATTTATTTTTTCTTATTAGTGAAAGGTCCAGACAACCAAAGCAATTTATCTTTTGGGTTTTTTATTCTAAGCAGTGTGTCTTTATCTTAAATCCATATGGTCTGTAGTGGTAGACCTTTAATAACCAGTTAGCTGTGTAACATACCTGCCTTTTTGTTCTCCCCCTCCCATGATGTACAACTGGACCTTTTTCACTGATTTCCCTCCTTTACCTTCCTCACCTAACTGGCTTTACACAGAGTTTTAACCCTCTGCCTATATGGTTTATGAGTGCAGTTTGAGCCTATTAAAAGATCTGTTTCCGCACAGATGCTACTTAAGGAAAATTTAGTGAATGAGTTTCTTGGATCCAGCTCCTGGCATGGCAGACACCTGCAGGCTACAGCGTTGTCTTCCTCTTCCTTACTCCATCTAGTTTCTGGTGTGTGCCCACTAGAGGACACTGCTATTAGTTACAAGTACTTATATTTCCTCTTTTAAATTTCCCCAAAGCTTCAGCTTTAAAAGTATTTAATTTGTCTGTGACTGCAAGTCATCTCTTATAAGCCCAAGAGGTATTCAATGTGCATTTTGGCTAATAAAAAACTTCTGGGGAAGAGCAAATATTTTTATTTAGAGTTTAAATAACATGCATAGGTATCTGATAGTGTTAAAGATATACGTAATATTTTAAGACACAGTGAAAAGGGCAAAATGTAGCTTAGCATTCACTAGGCCTCTGAAAGAAATGAGGAGGGTGGACTTTTCTTAATTTTCTTAATTTTGTTTTGGAAAATATCCCTAAACTTTTCCTTTCCTTGTAGATATGGTCTACGGGGGGCGGGGGAGGAAGCCAAGCCTTGCATGGTAGCAAGCCGGTTGGCAGCAGCAAACCCCTTAATAGCAACTCCTGGCATAGTCTCTGGCGGCTGACTGGCATTAACCAGCCCCAGCGCAAGGCTGGGTCTGTGCGTGTCCGCCTTGCCGGGCTGGCACGTGCTGCTAGGAGCAGGGCCGCGGGAGGGTGGCGCGCGAGGCAGCGGGTGCAGGATCAATGCTGGTAAGCGTGTGCTAGGAGAGAAGGTTAGGGCAGCCTCCTTTGAAAAATAGACAAGCTGTAAACACAGTCAAGGATTGTCTTATGCCTGTTGTTCCTTCGGTGCTGTCAAGCCAGGATTCCTTGCCAATCTATACAGCATTTTAAAAAAACTCTCTAACTCTTGTTTGGTTTTGTTTTATATTGCATGATATATATAATGAATATTTTAAAGGCTGCATATGTTTTCCTCCTTTTAAAAGTATATTAATATTTTTGCTAATATTTACCTAATCCAATTTTGAGTTTACTTTAACTAACTTTGGATGATTTGAATAAAAGGTCGCCAGTCATCACATGGCAGTGCAAATTAAACTGTTGTACAAATTTATGACTTAAAGAAAATGTTCTTTTACCAGATGAATTGCAGGGTGCACAATCAGAGACTGAGGCTAAACAAGAAATTCAGCAACTGCACAAGGAGCTGATTGAAGCCCAAGAGCTAGCTAGGACAAGTAAACAAAAATGCTTTGAACTTCAAGGTGAGACCCAGATCAACTTGGTTGTTTAGGTCATCCATTATAATTGTATTTATCAGGTAGTCTTAAAAGGGGGTCCAATTTTGCTGACTGTTAGGTAGACTTGTTTTATAGCATTCACATCTCCTGCACAGAATGGCAGAAACTTTTGCTTTTTTTCTAAACTCTATATAAGGTCAGATTGAGCTCTGACTTTTTGGCTCAAGATAGACCATCACCTTTTCATAGTATTGAATACATATGTGAACTCCATTTATTTCATCCTTATAAAATATATTAATCTACAGGTATTGATTCATCTGTATTTCAGTCAGATAATGCACAGAATTTAATGTACTCAGTGGTAGTTCTTTGTTTAGATCATCCTATCAGATACGTAGCTGGATCATTATCCTCAGCAAACTGTGGGTTGTTTTTGACAGGAAATAGTATAGTCCAGTTTAATTGCGTGTTGTTCATTGTTCTTTATGGGGTATATTTACAGCTTTTTTTTTTTTCTCCTCCCACACCAGTTTGAATTTAGCACACGTCAAGTTTTTGGATCAGGCAACAGATTATATTAATTTCAAATTAATTGTAATACTACCACAATAATGGAATGATGTCTTAATATTAACTTTTTATTAAACTACTTACACAGTTACTAGCTTTGATAACTTACTGAAATAATATGATTGTTTTAATTTTTTCAGTTAAGTGGAAGTTGTGACTAAAATTAATTACAGAGCTGAAATACTTCTTCGTAACAAAAATCTTTGGGCACATTTTCATTTTCATTTATAGCGCTGTTGGAAGAAGAGAGAAAAGCATATCGAGTGCAAGTTGAAGAATCTAACAAGCAAATAAATGTTCTGCAAGGTAGGAATTTTTTTCCACCCCACTATTTTAAGGAAAATACATAGCTTTGGCTATTTCCTTTGCATTGTAAGCACTAATAAAGGAAAATGCTAATTAAGTGTATGTTTTAAATCTGATTTCTTACACTATATCTTTGAATTTTATTGTGAATTGTTTCTTGTGAATTCCTATGTTTCTCATCATAACTTAGAAAATGCAAAAGGCATCTGCATAATCTGTAAGGGATGCCTCTTCTCCTCTCTCTTCAGTTTTTGTCAGTTTTGAATGATTCAGGGATTCTTACTGTGCTTATTTTATCTTTAGAGCACTCAGAAGGCTTAGTCTTCTTTGTGCTACTCAGTCTTCTCACTTCGTTGGTAGAATCCTCTTAAATAAATTTTTAATCGCTCCAGATGTGCATTCAACCTCAGAGCATGCAGTAAAATTTCTGCAATGAAGACACTGTCTATGCTTTTTGAAAAAACAGTATGACCAGTTATGCTCTTTTCAGCCCAAAATAATTATGGCAGAATGGAATCCTGTGGTTTACATAACTTCTGTGTCCTGTATTCTGTGTCACCTTAACTTGTCAGGCTGTGCATGTGAGTGAGCCTGTTGGTCAAGAGGCTGTCTAGCCTTAAAATCATTAAGGGTTATATTATAACTCTTCCTTAGAGCAAGCATTAAGTTTGAACATCTACTCAGCCACTGACTGTTATGAAAATTGTAGGAGCTTCATATCTTGGTATCTGTGAGCATATCATTTGGTTTGGACCTAGTTGGAAGGCAGATGAGCAGACAGGCAGATGGACTGACAATCCTCACTTTCTTAGGAAATCAAAATAGGTTTAGTAAATTACTTTGTGGGCAGTAGTTTGTTGTGGAATGCGGTACTTGTTATATATCAGTTACACTGAGAAGCTTATATAATAGCACTGTTTTATATGAATGTCAGCAAAGAATATTTACATTTTCCACCATTACAGCTGTAAGAAAGAGGAGCTTACATAATACACATCTTCAATACAAGAGGAGCAATTTAATTTTGAATCTTGTCCTGCTAATAATGAAAATTCTCCAAATAAAAATACTGCAGCCAAAGTTAGAAATTAGGATTTGGTAGTTATTTCTATGCAGAAAATAGCAATCTTTTTTTTTCCTCTCAGAAAAAAGAGAATCTAAGTAGAAGCTTGACAGAACCAAACTTAACTGCAAGATGCCTCTTGTCAGTTCAGTACTTCTTTGTCTCCTGAACCTTTCTTAAGTGAGGTCTTGCTTATATTTCTCTCTCCATGGTAGTTCAAAATGTTCTGATGTTCGTTATATGCTTGCTGCTTCTTAAACTTGTAGGCTGTGACACATCTCACAACTTGGGAAAAGCTGTCAGGATGTCAGGATTCTCTCTTGGCAGCCTCTATGAACCGTAGTGGAGGAAAATAATCCTGGCAGCTTCATGCAGTAACATTTCTTAAAGTATTTTCATGGAATGAATGTTTTAGGCCAACCAGTGCTATGTGGTTTTATGTTTGTCAGAGAAGAGAAGGTGCCACAGGAACAACTACAGTCCTGTCTCTACGTGTGAAGTTCTTTAGATGAACAGATAGGTAAAGCAAAGAAATTCAAGTAACTTGTCATTACTTATTTTAAAAAAAAAAAAAAGTTAAGTGTTCAGTTTAGATGAGGTAAGGGCTTACATAAATAAGAGATGTAATGGAAGTTTTCTTTCTAATTGCCCTTTCAAATTACATTCAGTGCTTCAGAAACCATTCCAATATTCTTGGTAGTAATTTTTCTGTGTAAGTTATTTCTACAACTCCACCAAACTTTGGAAACACTTGTATGTGTTTGGATTTTCAGTCATACCATGCTTGTTTTCATGCCTGAACATTTAAAGGGAGTGTTGTTCATCAACAATGCAGACAGTAGGAAAAAAAAAAAAAACAACCAAACCAAATTTATTTGAAATACTGCCATTACTGAGAAGCAGGAATTTAGTTTGGCTTGACAAAGAAAGTAGTATCAGGGAGATATGGTTTGCAGAATCACTCCTTTGCTCATTAATGGGCACCTGCTGTGTTAGCAAGTTGTAATTCTTGGTGTTTTAGAAATGTGGTTTCCTAGCACATTGGTTTGGTAGGTTCAAGGCTTCTAGTGTAAAGATACACGGAAAGGCAATTGTTAATGTGCAGTGTGTTGTATTACTGTTGGGTTGTTCTCATCTACTACTTTGTTTGCTACTTTATTAGTATAGCCATGCAGAAACTATTTCCAAACAAATGAGGTGGTAGTAAGCCCCATGTTACTCACATATATTTAAAAATCCATCATGCTGCAAATGTCTTTGTTATGGAACAGATAGATGGTTTCATCTCATCCAGAATTGCTGTGAAATCTAACTTACTGTTGTCTGTAATAGCTCTTACATATTACAATATATAACAATTATCATGGGTTTTCCCACACTGTCTTTTTCCTCCAGTGTGGAATTGGGCAATTCATAGGTTCTTTAGTTTATCTAATGAGCTAAATGGCTTGCTGGAGCCTGCATAGAGGAGGGGAAAAAAGTTCCATTTTTCTTCTTCAACTAACAGCAAAGTTTCTAGATTGTACCTATATATGAATTCTACCAATATTACAGTATATGCAGCTACTGAAAAACATTCGGTATAGTTGTAATGAAAGTGCAAGTCTCTCCTGAATAGTTTTTATGCTGTATCAGTTTATGGCACAACTCGCTCACATTCTCCATGTCATATTCTGTAATGTATTGAGAGAACAAAAATAAATACAAGAAATCTATGAAGTTTACTCAGTCTTGGTTATCTTCCCCATGCTTTCCACTGTCCTTTTCTGCCCTTTGCTTCTAAAACATATAACTTTAAAAGTGTAATTCTGACCCTCTACAGTATCTTATATGAGATTTTCCAGTGATGTTAATAACTTTGCACTTTTCTCAGAGAAAATCTTCATTAATTTAGTAATTGCTTTTCCCCATGTTAAAAATCCGTGAAATACATGTGAACTCTGATAGGTGTTCTTTAAAAAGCAAAACAAAAACACTGAGCAAATTAAACACTTTGCTTCCATCAGTCAGGCTTTTAACTATAATTTTGTTCTTCTTTCATCCTTCCCTTTCCTCTGTACTCTGCTTTTTTTTTTTTCTCCCCCCAACTGTTTGCACTGGATTGTATTTGATGTGTGTTTATGAAAAATAGCGGTGCTCAGAGAAGAGATATGTTTAGTAATGAAACAGTTTTGAATGGGAATAATTTATAAGATTTCCTTCATGCAGAAATGTAAAATAACTTAGCGTGTGTGTGACTGCTGCACATTTACAGTAAACTGTAAATGCTGAAGGACTTCTTATCGTTCAGTATATTTGGTGCAGCTGTCCAATTCAAAATTAATCTTGAGCTTTGAAAAATGCTTTTTGCAAAGAAGTAAGGTAATTTTTATTTCCTTTACTACATGTTGAGACTGGAGTAGAAATTGGACCCCATGCCTCAAATATTTATAGACATCACAAGTTAACTGCTGAACAGGCAAACATTTCCAATGTAGCTTTGCAACTGTTTGGTTTGTCACAGAAGCTTTCTTGCTTTTCCTCTTGTCCCCGAACCCCACAGTGCCCTTGTTCTGTAATACTTGTTTTGCTTACAATGAAGTTCGATCTACATCTTGGTTTCAGATTTTGGAGAGTTGCTTTAGTATCACACACATAACACAACCCTGTCAAAGAAAGCTGTGTCCAACCGTAATTCTTGTTTCTTTTGACTCTCTGTAATACCTGACCCCACATACATGTCTCTTTAAGGGTACAGCATTTGGCAAGATTAACATCTTTTTCAATTGCATTAGGATTCTTTAGCCCTATTAACATTAGCAAGTGGAGAAGAGGGAGTTAAGTTTTTTAGATTTTTCTGTAAATACAGTTTTAAAAAATACTAACATTACTGTATGCTTTCCAGCTCAGTTGCGAAGGTTACAAGAAGATATTGAGAATCTTCGTGAGGAGAAGGAGAACGAAATTTCAAGCACACGAAATGAATTAGTCAGTGCTCAAAATGAGATTCTGTCACTTCAACAAGTAGCAGAAAAGGCAGCATCAGAACGAGATACAGATATTTCTGCATTGCAAGATGAGCTGCAAACAGTGCGAGCAGAACTTGAACGGTGGCGGAAAGACGCCTCAGATTATGAGAAAGAGATTGTCAGTCTGCAAGCCAGTTTTCAGCTCAGATGTCAGCAGTGTGAGGATCAGCAGAAGGAAGAGGCTACTCGCTTAAAAGGTACTTGTTTAAATGGATGTTACAGGCCAGCACCAGCAGTAGCATCCTTTTCAATCTGAGGAATGTCAGTTATTGAAGTTGCTGTTTGTCTGTGTCTCTCTAGTCATTTACTATGTCTATACATATATATGCACATATATACATATAAATACATGTGTGTTATTTATATATGCGTATCAAGGCTTGTAGTCTTACAAAAGCTGTTTTGTATACTTCATGAAATAGTAATTGTCAATTATGCTTAAATTAGCTTTGATATCAAAAGTGGACCAAGTATAGTTCCACTTAGAAAAGGTGGGAAACTTGTACTGTTTGAGGGATTGATACTGCCACAGATTTCCAAAAGGACTTGTGTAATTTAAGCCTGTAAATGGGTAATTTCTGACCTTTTAGTTTTTCTAGCAAAGCTTTACTCCAGACATATAACTGTATTTTATGACTTAATAAAACTGTTGATGCCATCTAATTTTTAACATGAAAATGTTAAAATATGTTTACTTTTAAACATATATTCTGGGCATATGATGTAGAGATATATAAATGTGTTGTGCTGAGCCAGCATAGGGTTTCTTTTAGGCTCATTCATTTGCATTTCACTTTATCTGTGATACACCCATGTCTCATGAGGGCTGTTTGAGAGCCAGTATGCCAGGCCTATAGCTTCAGGTTTTGGAGAATCTAACAGAGTTCAAAAGCTTATGCTGAAACTTTATACATATCAAAGAGAAACTGGCATATGAAAAATATGCTTTAAATCTTGAATCAGTTAATCTTTGTTGCCAGAGAAGCATTTTTCCAATTTAGACTCCAGTCTCTCCATTGTATTACCAAGACGTGTATAACATTGATCTGTATCTCTTTTACTAGGGACTGATTTATTTCAAAGATCTCATTTTCACCCTTTAGTTATTGCTTTAAACATTCTGTTCTTGTAGCAGAGGCATGGTATTTAGCAATTCTTGTTGTTTGCTATTTTAAAGGCTGGGAAATTATTTTCTTCAAATACACTTTTCTGTCACTTTTTCTAAAATACTAGAGTAGACCCATAAACAGGCTCTTTCCCATTCCTTTGTGCCTTAGAAACAACTTGCGTTAAAAAAGAACACATTCGTTTGTTTAATGGCTCACAAACCTCATAACAGTAGATGTTTTATAGGTGCTTGTGAGAGAATTCATGTGACATGATTATAATCAAATATATTTGAGATTTACGACTGATATCAACTTCTTCTCCATTTATTAGGTGGTGATACTTGAAGCAGTCATGACATGATTTTACTCAATTCAATTAAATTTTATTCCTTGCAGGTGAACTTGAAAAGTTGAAGGCAGAGTGGAGTGCTCTGGAAGCCGAGTGTGTTACACTAAGGAAGGAAAATACTTTGCTTACATCTGAACTTCAACGACAAGAGAAGGAGCTTTCTAGGTAAGGGTACAATGGTTTTGTCTAGGAAGGTATCATAGTAGCTGAAGAGGTGGTTTTGTTGTTGTTTTTTATTCCCAAAAGTGGTACTAGGTGTCTGATGTCATTTCAATAAATTGCTGAAATTTTATTTATATCATAGTATTGGGGAGAACGCACTTTCATGCCAAATTGTTATACCAAGCTATTTTTTTTTCCTATTTTGCAAATGCTACTGTATTACTTACCAGTCATGTTATATTGTCATAAGGTAACCTGACTTATTTTGCTGCTTTTAATAAGGACTTGGAAGTGTGCATTGTGGAAGTATTTAGTCTTAACAGTTGTCCTTCTACTTAAAAAATAATAAACCACATAGATTTCCTAATCTAAAATTTTCTCAGCATTCAGGGTTGGAAAATGATTCTCAGAGAGTATGTTGTCTCATGGAAGCCTGTCACATTATAAATAGTAATGATGGGCAGAAACAGTATTCTATGTCATATTTGGTTAACAGAAAAATACAAATCTTTTTATTGCAAGTGCCATAATATCTTCCGGGAAGGATTTTAGAGTGCAGGAGTATTTTTATTTTACTGAATTTCTTTTGCTATTTGAGCACATGACACTGCTAAAGGCTATATAAATATTCTGCCTGGAAGTAGCTTCCCTCTCTTATCCCTTCATCTGCCATTATTATGTTGGTTTTCAGTTTTGGATACTGGAATTTAATTCACAAAGTAAATATGGGACAGCAACTTTGTTTTATCATAGATCTGAATTTTACCGTCATGCTTAGATAACTTTTTTTTTTCTTCTGAATTCCTCACTGTTGTAAGATCTAATTGAAACAATGGGAATTTCCCCCAGTAAAACATTTCTAGAAGTAATGTGGTATTTTACAGGGATCAAACCTTTCTTTTTCATTTCATCATGCTCTGATTTCCACTCGTATTTTTTCATACAGAAGGTGACACAAGCAAATACAGGATTTGCATAATGGAGATATGCAAGATCTCTCCCTTATATTTTTTCTTCTGTCTTGCACAGGCACAAACTAACACTACTTGGTTATTACACTGAACTCTGTAATGGCTTAATTTAGAGCTTTCTATGACTATTACACAACTGTACTAAACGCTTGAAGAATATACTAGCTTTTAGCTTATGCGACTGGAGTAAGCAAAGAAGCGTGTGTGCAAATAAGTGAAATACTTCTAACAACCTTGGACAGACTTCTTGTTACAAATTTGTTTCAAAATACTTTGGAGTATATAATAAATGCTTAAGTGAATAATAAAAAGTAAAATAAGAAACTAAAAACGATGAATGATAAATTATTTAAAATGTAGATTATGATTAATTATGCACACTAAGCTGTACACGTATATCTAAAAGCAAGACTATGGCCAGGACTTCTGTGTCAGTACTTTGTGTAGGGAGGCAATGATGATCTGCACTTCTATGATTGCTCTAAGCTGATATTTCTATATTAAATAAAAACAAGCTTTGGAGGATGGAAAGTGCTTTAAAAAAATTTTGTTTGTTTAAATTTAAAACACATGAGGGACCAATTGGATTTTGTTTTTCAGCTCTCAGGAACAGAGTTTAGCGCTAACCAGCGATATAAGTGTTCTTGAAATGTCTCGAAAGGAACTTGAAAATCAGATGGGATCTTTGAGAGAAAAACATCAACGGGATGCAGCTAGTCTAAAAAGCCAACTCAGTGAAGCAGAGAGTCAAGCAAAAGATGTTCAGAAAGAGGTAACACAAACATTATTTCTATTTTGAGAGAATATAATGCCCAATGACTTTGATTTTTAAGCTAAAAGAGAAGGACAAATATATGATTTCTAGTAATTGGAATTTTTCATATTTTTATGGCAGTACTTTTATGGTAGCCAACTATATATAAACTGGGGGTTAAATCTAAAAAGGAAGATTTCAGATAAAATTACTTGCATGAGTCTTGGGAACTTCCTAGAGTTTACTTTCATGCATTACCTTAGTGAATTTACTTTTAGGCTGTTCAGACAGGTAAATCCTTATTCAGAGTCTTCCTGAACATCATAGTATAGAGTTTCATTAGCTGTTATGAATCAAAATTAATTCTGTTTAGTCAGTAGGATCTTCCTAGTTAGATTTAAACTCTTTTATTTGACAGTGGGACTACACATTCTACACACTAGGCTGCTGAAGATGATTGGCAACTGCATAAGGAAAAGCTAGCATTTTGAGCATATATTTCATCTGCCTACCCTCTAAAGATTATGTCTGGAAGAAGGATGTAGCCTCCACCAATTACTGGCTTCTCTTATGAGCATTTTGAGTGAAGTTTTCCCCAGTCGCTGCTTTTAGTTTCTTTTGCAGTTCTTTTCTTTGCTTTTTCGTCAATTCATCCATGTCACATTCCTTACCATTTTCGGCATATTTGAAAAATCCAATCTTATTAGTCTGGTTTTGTAATCAGATATATTTGTAAAGATGCCTAATCTTTTAAATTTGTGGTAAATGCCAGTAGTGAAAGTCGTTGGTTCTGTCCTTACTAATCCCTGTCATGCCAACTACTAGAAAGCTTGTGATCTATAGAGAAGATTGAATGTGAGTTTGAAAAAGGAGAACCTGCCCATAGTGTAGGAAGATGCGGCGCATTCACCCACTGTTGTTTGTACTTGACCCACACTAAGGATTATGGCATGTTTGTAGTAAGGCATAATATTTTTTAATGCCTTTCTTACTCTTATGTTTGAGTTTGCTGTGCGGGAAGAGCGCTTGTTTTACTTCATACAGAATGTTGACTTTTTGCAACTATTTGATTGGTGTAATCACTTAAACTGCAGCCTACACGTAAGACCGCTATTTAAATGTAAAGGACTCCTTGTTCTGCTGTTCCTTGTTTTGTCTTCTTAGTTTTTACAGTCCTTTCCAATATGATAACAAGCAGTTGTTTGGTAGGAAAGATGAATTAAGGCCTTGCATTTACTTCATATTTCCTTTTCATTAGTAATCCTAGCCTTTTGAAGTTAGAGACAAAAATCTTCATTCAGAAAAAAAGAAAATCTAAACTAGGATTTTTCTACCTTTCTTTTATGAAAAGAGAGTACACTGATCCAAGGCAAATTACTCTAGGCAGGTGACAGGAAAGGAAGCAGTGCGCTAAGCAAATGTGGGCATGTGTTGGGTGTCCAGGGGTCCACAGACTGTTTTATCTTTATCTTTAGTATGAAAGAACACAGACTGTGCTCTCAGAGCTGAAGGCGAAGTACGAGATGGCTGAACAAGAAAATCAGTCACTTGCAGAAGAGCTCAAACAATGTAAAGAAAACCTGAAGCTGCTACAAGAAAAAGGAAACAACGTAAGTCTGTACAAAGTGTGTGGGGAAGTAGGGTTATAACACTGGCAATTCCGTTGATTGAGGGAGTATGTCAAATAGAAAAGGACAGACCGTTAAAAAAAAAAAAAAAAAGGCAGGGTACTGTATTATATGCAAAATTCCATTCTGGACCTACCTGTGCAAATTTGCAGGTCATTACACTGTTACAATTACATGTGCAAGTTAGATTTATAGTTGTGTAACAGTTTTAAATATGGCCTTAGGTATCTGCTGTCTTGAAAACGTCTGGCTTAAATACTAGTGAACCAGAACTAAACAAAACTTTTTAATTTCAGAAAATGATATGGGTAAAAGTTGAGAAACCTGTATCCAAATGAATTAAGCAACTTTTTTGAAGATGCTTTTATTAGTGTTTATTACAGCAGACACTCCCTCCTTACTCTTGTTCATGCTTCTTAACGGTGGTTATCCCTGATCAGCTCATGCTTTAAACAGTGGAGTTGAACTGTCCTTTCTGTTCACTAATGAAAATATGCTTTTCTGTTGCAATTAATTTGAGAGGTTGTATCATTAGAATTGAATTTAAAGCTAGAGGCAACTTTTTTTTATACTGAGTTTTCTGAAATCCTCCACATGTTAAGGGTGTGGCAGATGTTATAAGGTGGTCATAGCCTTATTTTAGATACCTTGTTACCCTGGGATAGCTGGTTTATTGTCTTCCTGTACTGCCTCTGTGATCAGTGCAGGCTGAACAACTCCTGTGGTGGTCAGTACAAAACAGGAGGATTAATGGATGCCTTTTAGAAAACACTTTCTCTGACTATGAAGAAAGTTCTACAGGTACCATCCTCTAAAATCAGCTGGCTGCTAGATGCCCAAAGTTCGTGTGAATACTCTTGCCATAGCTGATTACTGAATGTAAACCTCTAACATAGTAGAACTGTCAAAGATGTAAAGGATTCAAAGCCCTTCTCATTTTTTTCAGCTATGTTTTCGGGAATATGACGTTATAATTCTCTTGGAACTTGCTTCCTGCTTAGAATTCTTCTGCAATGCTCAGATAATATTGAGTTACTAAAGTAGGCAAAAGTCAAAAACAACCAACCAAAAAACTCCTCCTAGTAGAAGGGATCACACTGAATAGGTAATTGTCAATGTGAGGTTTTCTGCTCTGTTAAAAACATTAACCTTGGGATTAAAATAGTCAGTGGGAAAAGGGGGATAGTAGAGGGAAGAAATACAGTGAAGGGAATTGGAGCACCTGATGAAAATGGAAAAGCTTGCAAGGTACGGGAAATTTTAGGAACAATTTGAGGTGAGTATTTAAATGAAATCAGGTATCACGGCAGTTGCCAAAATCTGCTTCCAGAGGAGGAAGTTATGACAGTTGAAACCTGGAGGTCAGGTTATGATGAAGAGCATCCAACCCTATAAGGACTTGCAGGACAAGCTTGCTGTTCAAGCAAGCCTGACTTGCAATCAGTAATGTAAAACATACCTATCTTATGGATTATTTGAAGCATCATGGATACTGGGCTGGGTTCCAGGGTCAAATTTTTCAAGTACTATTGTCACCTTATGCTGGAATCATTATCTGCTACTTCATTTCTGAGGACAGCCCCCCACAGAAAGTGACTTCCCACTGTGGGGTTTGTTCCTTTTTGCAGCCCATCTGTATCTGAGTTTGCAGATCTTCATATTCTAATACAAGATGCACATTTTTGATGAAGCACCTAGTTAAATGCTCCTCGACAATAAGGAGATTTGTTGTAGATTGATAAGTAGGTATTTATATGGTAGATATTTATCATCTGTTTCATTTGCCAAGATGCCACAGCCATGAATGCGTATAACTTAAATTAAAAAACCCCAAACAAACCCCAAAATACCCAAATCCATAAAGTTGTTCAGTGAACCAACAAATACTAGAAAAGAGGAGGCTTCTGTACTCCCTTTGGGATATTGTTTAAATATTAAGTTTTTATTCTCAAAACAAAAAAATTGTTGTGTTCTGAGACGCTTAACAGTGTGGTGTACTACTTGTGCTTGCATGCTTGTAGTCACTGATTATTTCCTGATGCGCTTTACATGATGGATTTGTTTATGTGAATGGTTTGAGAATATTAGCTGCTCTGGTTGACTTAAACTTCTGGCACTTTTTTGAACACTGCTGTGATTATTTCTATCAACATGCTTTCTGTGGGAAGGTGGCACTGATTTGTGACACCAATGACACAAATAATTCTGCATGAAAATTTAATAGTTACACATAACTTGTCTATTAAATATTTGCCTTGATTAAAACAGTCTGAATTGAACAGCAGAGACTAGAATACCTTCTAAGATTCCTGTTTGGAACCATATTGGAGGCTATATGATTAAGTGACTTCTACAAATTCATAACAGGATGAGATTTTATTTATTAATCACAATGTTTTAGAAAGCCTTCAAATGTGTTTTTATTATTTATTTATTTGACTGAACAAAATCAAGGTGGCTTCAGCACAAAAAAGTCCTTAAGAAAATATTTAGCATGGTTTGAACTTAACCTCTGTGCGTCTGTGTGTGTGCACAAATATACAGGCTAGGATACAGAGAAAGCAGATGTCTTCCAAGGACAGCTTAAAAAGAAATTAGGTCCTTTTTTGCTTTTAATGTATCATATTAAGGATAGAGGCTGTCCATCCAGAATGTGAAGTAAAGTAGTTTACAGTTTTTAATTGAATGTAGCTGAGAAAATGTGTAGATGGTTCTAACGAGGCCATAACCTAAACAAACCCTGCAATCTTGCCAGCTGGTAGTTCAGCCCAGCTGCAACATTTGATCGATTTTCAGAATTGCATTTGGTCCCAAGGCTGATGACCTGCCAGAGATACTGATCTTTGTGGTATCTCTAATAGAACTGGACTTCCCTGCTTTATAGTAACTTCGTGTTGATTGTACAGTCATGTTACAATCTCACGGAAATGTCTGAACTGCTGGGTTTGCCTGTGAACATAGTTGTAATTGATTGACTAACGGAGGAAAGAGATTGTTTTTCCTGGATGCTCGCGATGGAAAATGGGAAAAGCAAACTTGCAAGAAATTAAGACGTTGCTGAAAAATTCAGTATCTCCTGTGAGCCTTTCTGCCTTAAGAAATCCAGATGGGATTTCCTACTGCTTAGAAAAACTAAAACCAACTAGAAATAAGATACAGGCAAATCAATTTAAGATTTGTATTGTTTTTAAGTGCTAAATTCCAAGTTGTGACAAGAGGTTTCTTAGAACATTTTCTGCTTACTTCCCTTTATTTTCAAACATCCCTGTTCATTTGAGTAGAATGGTGTACTAACTTTGTATACCAGATTAGATAATGCTGTATTGTGTTAGATGTCTTTAATACATTTCAATTAAAACAAAACTCACTGACTTATTTTCCCCCTCTTATTTCCCCCCCAGTCATCTTTACCTGATTGATTTATAGCACAAAGTGATTTTTAATATCCCTTCCCTTCTTTAGCCTTCCATATTACAACCCGTCCCAGCCGTATTCATCGGCCTAATCCTGGCTTTCCTGTATTGGTGTTACGGCCCATTGTGGTAGCGAAAGGTACAAGCACTACTGTTCAGTCAATGTATGTTTGTCCCTCTCACCTGTTTGTGCCATTTCTGTATAAAATAGTGCATGGTGAAATGCTCACAGGTATTTCTTTACCTGAAGCAAACCCTTCATTTAATATGCCATTCTGCTGATACTGATGAGCTGAGCAATCAACTAATCATTTAACATCTGTGTGATTTCTTGAATTCTAACAATTAATTTCGTTCTAACTGGTTCTGAATGTGTCTCTTCTAACTCTGTCTCAGTTTGTCTGTAGCAAATGGGCTGCCTTTTGCACAATGCTGCGATGCTAGGGCCTGTAAGAGAACTTAATTGCTTGATTAACTATGAAAAATGAAGAGTTTGCCTCTAAATAATAATCAACAACCTTCGGTTCCTATTTATGGACTAAGAAATTCCTCTCTGGCTCTAAACACTTTAATTTTCTCACTATTACTGTGAAGAAGATGGAAAAAAAGACGAGAAATAGGTGGTTGGTTTGTATTCTGAACTCTCAGCTTGCATTTTCTCTTAATGTCTCTGTGTGTCCTCCTCTTAAAATGCTATTGCTGTCATGAAATGTTGTGACAATCCATTTGAAATTATGTTCTTAGGATCTGCTACAAACTAACTTCATAGATCTGGATTTAAACATTCAAAAGCTAAGTTAAAAATGTCAGTACTGCATAAATCTGTGTCTAGCGATTACTTGGCACAAGCGATGTTTCAAACATCTTAAGCCCTCACATGTTTAATAGCAGGTTTTTTTGAGGTGTGTACAGTAATGAAGCTGGAAATAGAGAACTGCCAGAAGTTCTCCTGATGATCCTCAGTCATGAAGAGTCGTGGAGTTCCCTTTGCTGGCGGAACACGGTTTACTGTGATGCTCTAAGTTGGGGCTAGCCTGCAGTAGGGCTCCTGGGTAACATTTCAGTCATGCCTATCAACAGGTACTCAGGACTTTCAGGAACCACGGGGTAAACTGATTAGTATGAATTAGAACAAATATGATATTGATTTTTTTTTTCTCTCCACACAGAGACAATGGCCTTGGATGCCTGTGATGGCAGCTTTGGTTGCTGTAACAGCCGTCGTGCTGTACCCAGGCCTAACCAGAGCTTCTCCATGAGAACTGTTGTTGAATCCATACACCGTCCTCCCTTTAGAAGCTGGCAACATTCATATACTGAGGGAAAACAGATTAATTCTCTTCCTTTTTACCTCTTAATACAGCACAGCTCTGCGTGAGAACAGCAGTAGGGTCATTTGCTTTAAACTGTATAAAATGTATCTGTCTATAAAGAGGGAATAAAATTGTGATTCATCATACTGTGAGCAATATTTTTGCTTACAATTTCATGCAAGTTTTAAATTAGTATGTTGGGATTCTGAATACTGTAATGGTGGCCTAAAGTAGGCTTCTTGGTACCAAATTATTTATGATGGCTAGCGTTGTGGACACTTACTTTAGAATCTGATTGCCAGATTTAAAAGAAAAAACACGTTTCTGATTTGGCCACCCAAGCCAAGTAACTTTGCAGATACTTGGAAAACAGATGCAGTGTGCTCAGTGCCTTTCAGTATGATTTTTTTTTTTTTTAAACTTTTTTTTTTAAACTAGTATACCATTTTACTTGCTGTTAGTCACTGAGCTGTTGGGAACAAGACTTAAGAAAACTTCTCTTACCACGCCTTTTGAAGGAAGCATATTTTTCTTCAATAAGGATTGCTTTATTAATGATTTTTGGGAATAAACACAATTCATGTCCAGCCTTAAAGAGAGAGAGATATTGATGGTGAAGACCAGCCTAGAGTATTTAGTGTGCGCGTGTGCGAGTGTAAGCATGTGTGTGTTCTTGAGTGAACTAAGGTATTTCTGGGAGCAAGTACTTGGTCATTTGATGGACATAGTGCAGTGATTCAACTTACGTTAACCTTAGTTTGAATGTAATTTATTAAATTTCATATATTTAAAGAGATGCGTTCTTTAAAAGTATGAATACTTTCTCACATACCACATGTATCTATTTTTTCAGTCATTTGATACTCTCTGACTTGAGCTGGAGAAGCTCTTTAGATAAGCTTTTGTTGACGTAACTTTATTAAGAGAACTGCTACAGTACGTCTGTGATTAGCTGAAAAAAAATCTAAGATGCATAAAATGCTACAAAATTGGAATCATATACCTGATGATGTATCGTCAGGTCAAGATGATTTTAATTTGGTAGTGAAATTTTGTGCATCCTCATCACATGGCTGTATGTATGATGCAGTGGTCCCCATTACAAAGTTTATTTCCCTTATCTAAGTACTATAACTATTGCTATTTGCTAACTTTTGGTGGGAATCACTGTGGTTAGTGCTGAATTAAATGTAGACTGTAGTTGTCTTGTTCAGCTCAACAGTTCTTCAAAAAAGTTTATTAAAGACTTAAATAATATCCTAAAGAATGGTAAAGTAAAATGGCTCTACTAAAGGAAACTTCAAAATAGGGAGGTAATCTCAGCAATTGAATTGGCTTTAAAAATGTTATGGCAATCGAAAGATAGTTTAAATATTTAAATAGAAATTTAGCATATAATTTACTTTGTGAGGTTTTAAGGGTCATTGTCCTTTAATTAAAGGTTCTGTCTTAAGTTACATGGGATTTGCTAATGGAAGGATTATTAGTTGGAAAAAATAGTCCACAAGTGACTTGTAGAAAATTAATTATTGTCATTTAGTTCATTCATTTCATCCTTTTCAGTTGCAGGAAGCCACCCAACCACAGAACACTCGTATGCCAGTGGTACTTAGTACCTCTTGTATATAGGTTATTGCAAATATTGTTCTGAAATGCTTAACTTCAGAATTACATTTTTTAAAGTAAATAATTGTTTTAAATCTATTTTGTAAAGATATAAAAATACAATAGAATTTCTGGAGTACAGATTAAACTATTTGCACTAACACACGTGATGTGCATGATTTAATAAAATAACTTTACTCTCCCTATGCATGTTTGAGTTGAATGTCATTTAAAACCAACAGATTCATGCTAAGTTTCTTTTGTGCTAGATATTGCCACAGTTACTAGGCACAATGTCTGCAGCATGTCCAGTAATAGCAAAAGAATTTTTTACCTTGTATTTCACATTTGCACTGGTGTAAGTTTTTGTCTAGCTGATCTCTCTCCTGGCTGTGGTTTTCAGAAAGAAAGGGGGGAGGAGAGAGCGATGAAAGGCTTGAGAGCATTAATGCCACAGGGAGGGGAAAAAAAAAAAGTGTTCACAGCTGAAGGGTGGGTTGTGCCTGTGGCAGGGGTTATGAAATTGGAGGAGCAGTGGCTGCAGATAGCGGGACAATAGTGGAAAGCCCTCCTAGGGGAAGGGAGCCTGATGCTGCCTCCTCTCTTCTTTAGCATCTCAAACTCCCTATTTGTCCCTCTTTCAGCTACTGTTTCTTTTCCAGTTGATTCTGTTCTCTCCTCCCTGCCGGTAGCATGTAGACGTGGTGTGAGGAGGTGGAGTGGAGCCTGGCAGAGCAGTGGTCCCTCCTGGCTGGCAGCGGGGAAGGTGCGAAGTTCCCTGGGACCAACCTCGGGGTGGGCCCGCACTGCCAGTAGGTGCCCCATACTGAGCAATGCTGCCTGTGACATAAGTTTGTTCTTGTATTAAAGACAAATGTTGTGTTTTCAGAACTCTTTAGAGCATCAGAGAGCTGAAATTTGAGACCCAACATGGCTGTATTAAAGGAGAAAGATTTCTAATTGTGTGCATGTGTGCATATTTATATTGTATACACAGATGCATAGTACACATTGCATGGGAGTTTGTGCTTACAGGTATACCTGTGGTTCCCTGATACAGTGCCTTTCCTAGGAGTTCTTGGCATCTGCATGTTCAAAACGATCAAGAATGAACTAAAATGCACAGTTCACTCTTTCATTGTGAGAATCCCTGGAGAGGATTGGATAACTGGGAAGTTGCTGTTCTTCAGCGCTTTGATACTAAAGCAGCAAGCGGAGTTATTTTGCAAGCACTCTATGCACAAACCTCTGGGTTTTGTTGCGTTTGTTTATAGTAAACGTGTGCTCTTTTACATTCATATTTATGTTCATTCTTTTTAGTTGTAAGGCTTGATTAGCTAAGCCTTGGGAGTTACTGTAACAAGAGCAGCTTTTCACAAACGTGTAAGATGCTCTTAGTCAACTTGTAAAGTAAGTGCTCTGAGCTTGCACTGAAGTTTGAGGTTTTAAAAAGGTTCCTCATACTAGAAAAATGAGTCTGAGAGTTGTTTTAGCAGTTGGTAGTTCAATTTGAAATATTTAATATAATAAAATATCTGAACACTTCTTCAGTTTTATCCTGGTGTCCTGACTGAGGCACCTTTGTTTAAATTCTAAAAGAATTCTACCTACATGGGGACTACAACAGCAGACCTTTTAAATAAAAATATAACTACAATATGTAAAAACTACAGTGTAATTTTCCTGCTCCTTGTAGCTGAATTAAATGTGTTCTTCCAGAGTCTTAGCCTGATCCTTCTTGCAGAATCTCTGGATTTTTTGGTGCTAAATGGAGGATGCACAATATATTGCAAAGTTTCCTCATAAAACAGTCTTAGTGAGACTTAGTATGACTGATGGCTGAAGCAAAGGTAATCGTCTGTGCATGTATTTTGGGGGTATATTCCTAAGTTCCTTTTTTTAATCAGGTCGTCTTAACTATGTTACCTGTTAAAATTTTCAGTGTGCTTTACGTAAGATTTTGAATGTCTCCTGCCTTAATTTGTAGGGTTCTACCACTTGCAAGAATCATTTCTTCAGCTTGAATCTTCTCCATGACAAATCTGCTGCCGAGATTCATTCCACCAGCAGCATCTGAGTGCTTTTAAAACACCAGGTCACCACAATGGCTTTAGGGAAGCCACTCTCGTTTGCACTATCTCTGCAACCGGGCCTGGCTGCTTTCCACCAGGGGCCTTTTTTTCCCCTCTGGCTTTTCATCCACCATTATAGTATTTCATTAGCAACTGTCTCAAGATTTGGAGTCTTCCATTAACATAGCAGTTGGTCATATGAAAGAATTAGAAGCCATATTCTCTCCCCCGTCTCAGGCATGTACCTCTGGATCTGAAGGGTGATTGCTTCCAGCAAACAGCTGCAGTGAATTCTTCAGATCCAGCTGATTTACTCATTCCCAGTCCTTCTTCGCAGGTGCTTCTGGACACAGGATTCCTTTCTTTCTCCTCTGGTGGGGAATGGGGCTGCAGTATGGGTCTCCCAGTTCTTCCTGCCTTCCTGGCTTTTTAGTTTGGGCCGACTTCTTCAAATTAGTGAGCAAAGGTTTGCCCACAGAGCCAGGCTGTTCTGCTTGGAGAGAGGGTTGCACTCATTACTGCTTTAAAAACAGTGGGTGCTACCAGTATCGGACTAAAGGCTCCCAGAAGTAGAAGGCAAATTAGCAACTGAAACACAAGTTTCGGTGGTAAGGGCCATCAGAGACTCACATCTGTTGGTAAAGGTAGAGGTAACTTGTATTTGATCGCTTTTCTGGATATCGCAGTCATAAACTTCACAGACTGATTTCAACATCAGAAGGGTAATGTCCAGAAGTTAAGCATGTATTTTAGAGAAAAAACAGGTCTTGCTTTAGGAACTTCAGAAAAAGAATCACTGACCTCTTACAGGTAAGTTGCTTGAGCAACAACTGTGCTCTCAAAAACACCCCCAAAACCCAACCCTGTGTTTGAGTTCATCTCACTTTAGCTTCCAACCATTGGATTTCAATATATCTCTCTTGGAGGATGTTCTACTACTGCAAATGTCCTGACCCAGGGATTTGACATACCATGATCAAAATACCTTCCCATCTTACTTTATATGAATGAATTCAATTTCTTAGATTTTTTTCTTCATCCCTCTAGTTTTTGTTGCCAGCTTTTTAAACTATTTCCAATTTTCTGAATCTTCCTTTTTGAAGAGTAGATGCCATAACAGAACGTGTCCTTACAGTAGTGACCTTACTAACACCATATAAATAGATAATAAGCTTTGTATCCTGCTCTGCTGTTCTTACTTGGCTGCCTACCAGAAGCCTTTTGGGGATTCACTGACTTCTACCATTTGGATTTTAATCTTGTGAATCAAATCTGTGCATTCCTTGCATCACCCCAGCCCCATAGTATCTGACTTTGCAATATTGCTCGGTAAAAACCTCTGCAGGCAAGCAGTCCAAGGCAGCAACCTGTTCCCATTACTGCTCAGCACTTCATCAATGTTTTGGGGTTTGTTTTTTTTCCCCCTTAAGGTTTTAACAGGAGTGACTACTGAAGCTTTTCTAGATT